GAAGGTTTACTCCTCTGCCTCCCTACTCCTGCGCATCACAAACTATGCCGCTCTACTCTCGAATCATAATTTCGACAATTATTCAAAGTTAACTGAGCTGGCTCAATATCTCCCTGACTCCAAAAAGCCGATCCTGAAGGTAGTGGTAGAAGAAGGCTATGCTTCTTCTAGGGCAGGGCTTCAAATCACGATGGATGTCGGAAGGTTTACTCCTCTGCCTCCCTACTCCTGCGCATCACAAACTATGCCGCTCTACTCTCGAATCATAATTTCGACAATTATTCAAAGTTAACTGAGCTGGCTCAATATCTCCCTGACTCCAAAAAGCCGATCCTGAAGGTAGTGGTAGAAGAAGGCTATGCTTCTTCTAGGGCAGGGCTTCAAATCACGATGGATGTCGCGGATACAGCCACACGAATCCAGGGCCACAGCCATTTCTATGAGAGGAGCGTCTTGGCTAGCCACAGCTGGAGTCCCCAAAGAGCTGCAGAGCAAGATGGAGGACCTTCCGTTTGACAAACGGAAACTGTTCGCAGATCAAACGGTTGAGGTCCTCCACTCTGGAAAAGATTCCTGTATGACCTTGCACACACTGGGAATATACACCCCTCCCTTTAGACATAAATAATATTATCCTTACCAGAGAACATATGACTACCAGTATCAAAGACAACATCAGCGGCCATAAGAGCAGACACACACGAAACAGCTACCTCAGCGTAGACTTCCCCAACCAGTACGCGTGGCCAATCCACCATCATCGAAGCATAGGTTTGATGGCTCGGTCGAGGGCGTGCAAGCATCTCACGTTGTTACGAGCCAGCATCACATTCCTCCCTTTTCCCACCATCGTTTATAGCCGTTTTACCACCAGTGGGCCACTATATAACATCTGACTGATGGGTTCTGGAACTTGTGGTATCTGGATTCACGATTCCATTCATCTCCATCCATCCCACCAACCCCTTCCTTCTTCAGGGACCCATCTCACGAGGATCTCTTAAGACAAGAGGCCCACCGCCTTCTCTTCATCAGGGTGATAGAGTGTGTCCCAGATCAATTCAGAGGAAGGGAGTTTTACTCCCGCTATTTTCTAACTCAAAAGAAGACCAGAAGATGGAGGCCCATTTTTGATCTGCGGAGATTGAATTGTTACCTCCAGAAACAGCGGTTCAAGATGGTGACTCTCACCACCTTAATCCCATCACTTCACAACAGAGACTGGTTTGCAGCCCTCAAGCTGCAAGATGCTTATTTCCACATCGCCATCCACTCAGCACACAGGCGATTCCTCCGTTTTGTAGTAGGAGACGACCACTTCCAATATTGCATACTACCGTTTGGTCTAGCGTCCACTCCCAGGATTTTTTCAAAAACGCTTTGCATTGTGGTGGCACATCTGCGCCGCATGAATGTTATCATCTTCCCTTATTTAGACAATTACCTTGTAAAGGGCAGAACACAACACGAGACGTCCCATATGGTTATACTAGCCAAACAGACTTTTGACTCCCTGGGACTCATTGTTAACGAACAGAAGTCCACACTAGATCTGACTCAAAATATAAAGTTCATAGACGCCACGCTTGATTCTGTCGCTGCGAGAGCATATTTACCAATAGAGAGATTCCATGCAATACAAGACCTCATGAAGGTTCTCATATGTGCCCCTACAATGTCGGTGCACACTTGCCTACAGCTGATGGGTCATATGGCCACTACTACATCTGTGGTGCTTCATGCGTGACTGCATTTTCGATGCTTCCAGCGTTGGCTAGCCTTGGTATCATACCTTCAAAACACAGCATTCAAAAACCAGTAGCACCTCCAATTTACATCTGCAGATCCCTTGTATGGTGGACAAAATCATGCAACCTCATGGCAGGGGTCTCGTTCCATCGTCCGCAACCTTCCAATTAACGTCTCCATCACCGTCTGGGGCGCACATGTGAGCGGAATGAAGGTGCAGAGCAGCTGGTCAGATTCCGAGTGTGCTCTGCACATAAATCTTCTGGAACTGAAGGCTATCTCTCACGCATGCAAATACTTCTGCGCTCAAATAACCGGCACTACTGTCAGAGTGTTGATCGTTAATATTGCCATGATGTATTACATCAATCAGCAAGGAGGAGCAAGATCACATTTCCTATGTGCGGAAGCGGTCCATCTGTGGAACTGGTACATTTGAAACAGCATCTCTATCACAGCATCCTACTTACCTGGCACCAACAATGCTATTGCAGACTCTCTCAACAGATAGTTTCCACTGGACCACGAGTGGGAAATACAAGCAGACATCCTTCGACGAATCTTCCGCATGTGGGGAATGCCTCTAATAGATCTATTTGCCACCCCACACAACAGGAAGTGCCAACTTTTTTGTTCCAAGGCAAGTATTGGCAAGGGATCACTGGGGGATGCACTCCTAATCAGCTGGAGGATGTCATTGCTCTACACATTTCCCCCAACGGTACTTATACCTAGAATATTGGAAAAAATATTTAAATCCCCGCTGCATTTGCAATGTCGACCTGCCTAATCTGCATCCCTCTACCGACAGGAGGGATGCAGTCTAGACATACCTCTAGAGTGGAGCACCCACAAGGACCACTCGAAAAAGAAGTTACTCACCTTCATGCAGTAACGATGGTTCTTCAAGATGTGTCCCCGTGTGTGCTCCATGTCCCGCCCTCCTCCCCGCTTTGGAGATTTCTTTGCTTCTAATTGCAGATAACTAAGCAGTGAGAGGAACTGGCAGGGGCCAGACCGCATGCAATGATCAAAGGGCACAAACAGCGCGAGATGCTGACCTCGCATGCGTGGTCTGGCTGACAATGGCTATTGAAAACCTCCAACCAGTGACGCCGGGACGAGCTGACACCTAGAGTGGAGCACCCACGGGGACACATCTCGAAGAACTATTGTTATTGCACGAAGGTGAGTAATTTCGTCTTCCAATCATGGTGTAAATTCTAAGGAGAACAGATATATTTAGCTGATATACGTGTAGAGTTGATTGGTAAATGGAAACGAGGCCATCTATAGGGAATTGACTGTACAATCTCCAGACTAAGATGTAATTCTTAAATTCAAGGATTATCAAGAAGATTTTGTTGATACATGCCCTCTTGATGATATGAATGTTCAGTGAGGGTGCATCTACACTGCACTGTTATTTCGAGATAACTAGCATTATTTTGAAATAACAATTTGATCGTCTACACAGCCATTTTGAAATAATTTTGAATAATGGATGGCTTATTCCAAAATCAGTAAACCTCATTCTACGAGGAATAATGCCTATTTCAAAATAAGGCGTGTATAGACACTCACTGCTGCTATTTCAAAATAGCCCCTCACCAGAGCCATTCTAAGTTATTCCTCCCCAGTGCCCCCTGGGGCTCTAAATCAAGATAGCACATCTACGTTAGGGAAGCCTGCCTCAGACTAATTTTGAGGCTTCCCTGTAGTGTGGATGCTCTACTTTGAAATAAGCTATTCTGGAAGATATCTGCCAGAATAGCTTTTTCCGAAATAAGCGAAGGCAAATCTTCCAGAGAAAAAATGAACATTTATGAAGTCTATTTTCTCAGTTTTAGTTTGATGTAGCCAGTATTTATCATTTGAAGTATAGAGTTGAAACCTTTCTCTTGTTAATTTAAGTACCAGGTCATATATAATGGAGGTGAGCATTCTTACTGAGGTCTGAGAGAGTAGAATGTGTCCTATTAAATTTTAGCCTAGTTTATTTTTTCATGCATTGATTTCTCTATACAGGCTGTCCCCGGGTTATGTACAAGATAGGGACTGTATGTTTGTTCTTAAGTTGAATCTGTATGTAAGTCGGAGCTGGCGGCTGACTACAGGAAGCCTGAGGCAGAGTTGCTCTGCCCCGGGCTTCCTGGAATCAGCTGCTGATCAGTTTCAACAGCGGCTGAATCTGGACGCCTGGGACAGAGCAGCTGGGGCGCTGCCGGGTAGGTCCCCAGGGAGCAGACCAGGGAGACGCGAAGCAAAGACGTGGAGGACCCGGGCCGCGGGACTGCGGCGCGTCTGGGCAGTCCCCTAGCTCGGGTCCTTCGCAAGCGAGAAAAGCTGCTCGGGGCCCCCAGCAGACCAGGGGGACGCGGAGCAAAGCCGCGGAGGACCCGAGCGGCGGGACCGCACCGCGGTCCCTCCGTCCGTGTCCTGCGGGGCGAGAAAAGCCGGGTTTTGCTCCGCGTCTCCCTGGTCTGCTGGGGAGGGGCTCCCCCCTGCAGACCAGGGAGACGTGGAGCAGCTTTTCTCCCCCCGGAGGATGCGGGCGGTGGGACCACGGTGTGTCTGGGCGGTCCTGCCACCCGCGTCCTCCGGGGCAAGAAAAGCCCCGTTCGTAACTACGGATCCGACATAAGTCGGATCCGCGTAACCTGGAGACTGCCAGTACTAAAGTCTCACTGAATTGTTCTTCTTGAATGTAAGATTTTTGGTGAATTGGAGTAGAGATTTTTTATAGAGGGCCACATTGTTGGCAAGAAGTGGAACTGTGCTGTTTTTTTGTTATTTTGAATGCTTGTAATTTTCAGATGGAAACATTTTTCCAAGCAGGGACTTGCTCAGTCAGTTAGTACAAATATGTCTCTCTTGAAATTGATACTTTCTGTTATCAGAAGTTGTTTTTTCTATTATCAGTAGATGTTTCTTTAAAAAGTATTCTGTTAGATCATAATATTAAAGGTCAACCACTATATGTAGAGGAAAGTCACCATACTTCTCTGTCAGTGAGGTGAGAGAGGCATAGTAAAAGGAAACAGGAAATATAGTAGTGAATTTTATGCATAATATTGGAAGGGAATATTTTCTTTTATTATTAAAATGTGGGTAATTTTCTGAAGTTCATTCAGACACTGTTTTCAACTATATATCTTAAATAATGTCTTAGCTATAATATCATCTGTGCTGCATTTGATTAATATTCTTTAAATAGTTCATGATAGTGACATAAAAACAAAGGTCTAAATATTTTTATATGAGTTTACAGTTTTTTGTCCTTCCTTTTTTGATAAATGTGTGCTTTATGTACAATTTAACTGTTTATTTTTCCAAGCCACGTTCTGAAAAATCCTAACAGAATTGTGAATTTAGTTTACACTTTGATTCATAAATGTAGGCCACAGCAGAGAGGGCTTAGATATTAGTGTTCCTTGTGTCTTGATATTAATTTTCTTTCTTATTACAGTCAACCACATTCTGTTTAACTCTGTGATATTCCTTATTTGAATAGGCAGGAGCAACCTTTTATAAAAAGACTGGCCTGGGCTCATTGCCTCAAGCTCTGTTTAATGGTGTGCCCTTTATCGGTAAAGAGATGACTGCTGCAGAGTTAGAGACAGTTATTCTCCAGAGGATCACTGATGCCACAGGGTTCTTCCAGAGAGCAGTTTTCATGGTATGCTTAGCATTTATGAAAGAATGTAAGGTGAAATATTTGACAATAGATTGTTATAGTCATGCTTACAACCTGTATTTTATAATGAGATTGTTTGAAATTATTGTTACGAAAGCTGAAATGACCATTACTTTAATTTGCATTCATGAATTTGAAACTTAATGCATATTGATTATTGAAGCTCTAAGGTTACACAGTACATGTTAATCTTTGAGATGTTTTCAGACAAGAAGTGAAGAAAAATTGTAGCTATTCATAAGGAAATTTGGACCTGAGCTGTTAAAATCTCTTTCATAGATTATTTATACATTTATTTTCTGTTTAAGCAATCCTTGTCTTAGCATTGGATATCTAAAAGCTCTAAATTAAAGAGGAATAGAAATTCATTCTAGTCTGACTTCTGTGCTGTCACACAAATATAGATTGTAAACCATGTATGTATAAAAGTAAAAAATGGATGAGAATTTAAAAATTGGATGGTAACACATTGTGATTATTTCATTGATTATTCACCCTGGTGATATTCTAAACAGAGTTTTCAGCCATGCTTATAGCAGTTTCCATCACTTCATGCTGAATCCACAGGTATTCTAGGCTTCCAAGTAGGGTTACTGTGTATGTTGATATATTGTTGTTTGGCAATTGTTAGTGTGTGTCTAGGCTATTAACTGTTAGATTTGTGTTGATTTCTTCAAGTGGCAAATTATGGGTATGTGATGCCATGAGGGGCTGGATGTGTTGTGTGCACTGTTTGTGTTATTGTATTTGAGTTGTGTAATATTGGGAGCAGGGCTTTGGAGCAGAGCCCGGAGCTGGAGCGCAGAGCAGTGGAGCTGAAGGTTTTTGCCCGGAGCTGGAGCGGAGCCGAAGCTCAGAAAATCTTGACTGCTCTACTGCTCCAGTTTTTGTTTTTTGTTTTTTTCATTTTCAATCCAAAATGAATGATATTTTATCAAGAAAGTCCTAAAGGTGCCAAAACGTTTCAGATTTTATAACAACTGATATTAACATCTACTTTACCACTTTACGTGATATGTCACATTTATTCTCACTTCAGCCGAAATCAAGATTTAATGTACAGATACAAAATTACAAAGTTTTTGGAGATATGTTTTATTAAAGAATCAGGTAATTATCAGAAATCCGGCAACACTGCAGACTGCTCCCACCCTTGTGCCAAGGTTAGGCAAGTACGTACTCGCGTAGATTAGATAGATTAGTATGTGATTATTTTTAACCTTGTAACATGTAGCCTCGTTACTTCCCAACAACTAATGTTGTAGAACAGGGATAGCATATGCTAACACTATGGCACATACCAAATTTCATTGATATGTCTATATTAAAGCGTTTTTGAGATATTAATTAAAAACTTGGAAAATATTTTGAATATTTTTACCACAAAATGTCATAAGAAAAACTAACTTGCAATTTATAAATAAAAATGTATATTAATTATGTATATTAAAATACTTCTTACTTCACTAAAACTGCAAGAAACATGATAAAATATTAAAATATGCTTTAATAATAATTTTGTGTAAAAAGAAAATGCGATCATTTTTGTACAGAAAATCCAAAATACCTTAACCACTTCAGGTACTTTTAATTTATCACAAGTAGGTACATTATAAACAAATTTAATGCTTTTGTTCATTGCTTTTCGAAGATCATAACAAGAAACTTTTGAATGTGGTAGCAGCACAAGAAGATTTGGCCATGGCTTGAACAAAAAAATCAAATCTGTCCCCCATGATTGATAGCCGATTTACGGAAAAGGATCTCAATAACGTCTTTACTTTTAATTTGAAAAGCCCAAATTTGGGCTTCTGAGAAAAGCAAAGAAGAAATTGGCAATGTTCAAGGTGGAAAAGGAAATGAATGGTGAGCTCAAACCATGTAGCTTCTAAACAAGTGAAGCAAGTGCCATGAAAAGTTTCAACCTTTGGTGGCAAGTAAAACATAACCATCCTGAAAACTTTGTGGCTCTGGCTACAAAAAAGGACCAGGAAGATGAGGCAAAACAGAAAGGTGACGCGGCTAAAAGACGTTCATCTGGCTCTTTGAAAACTCCTGGAGAAAAGATTTTTTGCGGCACTTCATCTGAAAAGAAACCCAAAATTGAGCAAACAAAACTTGACTCCTAGTTGAAGTCCTCAAAGGTTACAGTCGCCATGGATGCTAATACTTTCCGTGAAGGGCTGATGGAAATGGTTTGCTTGAGTTCAACACCGCTCACTACCTTCAGGCTAAAGAACAAAGGATTCCAAAAAAATTGCAGGTGAAATGGGTCGGCAGCTTCGTGTTTCCACGGGGCACGATGCGGTTCGTCATGTAGTTGTCAGCACAGCTGAGTTTGGTCACAAAGAGGTCAAGAAAGCTTTGGAGCAAAAATTGTGCTACCTGAAAATGGATGCGGCAACCCGTGAAAACAGAAATTTCCTGGCAATCAATGCTCAGTACTATGAAGAAGGAAAAGAGAAAGCTGTGGTAAAAACCTTGGACATAATCAACACTGAAGGGCGTCACAATTCTTCCTATGTGAAAAGTCAAGTAAAAGCTATTTTAGAAAAATTTGGGATCAGTGAAATGCAAGTACTGAGCATCTGCATTGACAATGCAGCAAACATGACGTGTGCCGTCAAAAATGTCAACGAGGACAATGAATCCATTTCTACCTCTGAGAACAGGGATGTGGACAGAACTGAAGCTATTTTTCCTGATGAACGAACTAAAGGAATGGATGAAATCGAACTCAACGTGGATGCTGCTGCGCAATGGGTTAATGAACCTAGCCTCATACTTCCAACCTAGCTTCATGTGGACGACTCAAAAGTCCAACTGATGAGGTGTGCTATTCACACTCTTTGGTTGGCAATCTGGGATGGACTGAACAAATTTGGCAAAAATTTGGCAAAAATTCAACAAGTCGTCGTCAAACCACGAACCCCAGGTATTCAAAGTGTTCTGCTTGATCTATATGGGCTAACTCAATCATTGGATACTGTGACTCGCTGGGGTTCAACATTTGCGATTATTGATCGGCTTCTTGTTTTTCAATCTTACTGTGAACAGGTGGCTGCTGCTGGAACAAGAGAACTCAAGTTAACAAAAGCTGAATGGGACGAAGTGAAGAACCTGCAAGACCTCTTGGCAAAGCCAAACCAAACAACCGTGTATCTTCAAGCTGTCGATGTAACCCTGGGAGTTTTAATGGCGAAAACTGTCAAAATTCTTGCAAGAAAATGGTGGACAAATCGCAGAAGGAATTCTGTCCTCCATGCATAAACGCAAAGAGAAGCTTTTTGATAATATTTATTTCTTTGCTGGAGTTTATGTTGACCCACGGTATTGGATTCTTCTTATCTCAAGGAAAATACCAAAGGCAAAGGGAAGGGCTCCTTATATTGCTCAATGACTCGAAAAACAAAATCTATTGCTACATTTGAACTCAGCAAAAGAGATTGAAGAAAACGAAACACAAGAAAAGGAGTCACCAACAAATGAATTTATGGTTTTGGAAAGTTTACATCCTTCAGAAATAGCAGGCTGTTCTCAACTTCTGTCTCCACTCTGAACTTGTTTAAGCGTCCATCCCTGAGATGTCTTCAACCATCACAGGGAAATGGAGATAATTCAAGCACCAATTCTTCAGAAGATGATGACTTCAGAAAGGAATTGGATAAACAAGAAAGATGCCGTTGAGTTTCTGCGATTCATAATTGTAATGAATTATTCGAGAGAAACTTTTGGGAAGATTGTGAGGCGATGGAGTCTATTGGTAGGATAAAAGTTAAGTCTGTTTTTGAGGCCATTCACAACTACCCACACCGCATTTAGGCTGCCTGTAGAATTGCTTCGAGCATGCCAACAACTCAAACTAGTGTAGCGCAACAGTTTTTGGCTTTAAAGTTAATTTTAAATGATCTGCGGCAGGCTATGAAAGACGACTTAATTGCTGCAATAATTTTTTACAGATTGAATTATGAATGATTCTAGTTTGTATCATTGTTGATGACATTTACATTGTTTTAAAACTCTGAATAAAAATAATGTTTTTTCAAAATTAAAGTATGTACTTTTTTATTTAGTTAAAAATTAATTTGAGTCAGAGCGCGGAGCGGAGTCAAAGCGGAGCTGGAGCAGTCACTATTGGTGCCGGAGTGGAGCTGGAGCGGAACAATTTAAAAATTTGATTGCTCCAAATCCCTGGTTGGGAGAGTTATGTAGACATCAGAAAAGGGATGTGTGCTGCTATGAGGAGCTGTGTGCTGCTATGAGGAGCTGTGTGTGCATATTCTCATTTATGGGTACTATGCTGCTTGGTGTTGCCTATTGGTAAAACCTTTCCCAAGCAATACATGCCAGATCACGCATATGCTCTCTTCTAGCTTTTCCTAGGGTTGCCAGGTGTCCAGTATTTACCTGGACAATCCAGTATTCACGTCCCCCATCTGGTAAAAAAAACCAGAAAATACCGGGCATGTAAAATGTCCGGTATTTCCTGTTTCCCTTGGACAGAAAGAAGCCTGGCGGGGACAATTTTCCCCTGCCGCATCTGGCAGCAGTGGGAGAGTGAGGAGCGCGGGGCCATTTATAGGCGCAGCACTTTTTTGTTTCTCAACAACTTTGGTCCCCCCCCCCTTTTTTTTTCAACAGAATTTTTTCCCCAGTGGTTTGTGGGATTTTTTTGGGGGGGGGAGGGGTTGGTATTTTTGGTTAAACCACCTGGCAACCCTAGTTTTTCCCTAGATGTTTTTGAATATTCCTGAGGGCAAGGGGGCGTCTGGACAGAGGCAGGAGGTGTTTGGGCAGGAGGAGTCGGGGGGGACGGGACACTTACGTGTTGTCACATCATATGGCAGGCACCATGTAGCACACCTACTAGCAGTTCCCATTCTCCGGAAGAAAGCTTGGTATAGCATACTTGCTTGCTAGGTGTTCTAGAGCAACTGAGAAAAAGCAGATTAAAGCACAAAGAATTGCTTCCCCTGGGATTCATCTTTAAGTACAGAGGTGGGGAGAAGGGGCACATGGACTCCGCACAGAGGAGTTTAACCAAATAACAAAACAAATAAAATAACCTAATCATGTCTCAGTGAACATTCCCTATCACTTATATATCCATATCTTCAAGGTCCAGTCTATGCCTAGGCATGGGTATTCTTTTTCTGGGTAAGGGTATATCTGTGGTTCAGTTAATCTTTTTCCACCAGCTCCTGGTTTAAAATTTCCACAAAAGAGAAGAAGCAAGCAGATTTCCTTTCAATTCAAATCTCAACACTTTCTTCCCATTGGTTCTCCTGGCTCCCTGCCAACATTTCCTAGCTACCTGGGTTTTAACCATTTAGTTGCTGAATGCTGGGGTGTTTATCTCTCCCATCCATCACAGTAACCTTCATTCGTTATATGCTAAGGCTGTGTCTACACTGGCATGAATTTCCGGAAATGCTTAAAACGGAATACCATTCCGTTTTCAGTTATTCCGGAAAAGGAGTGTCTACATTGGCAGGCTGCTTTTCCGGAAAAGCCCTTTTTCCGGAAAAGCGTCTGTGGCCAATGTAGATGCGCTTTTCCGGAAAAGAGCCCCGATCGCCATTTTCGCGATCGGGGCTTTTTTCCGGAAAAGACTACTGGGCTGTCTACACTGGCCCTTTTCCGGAACGGTGTTCCGGAATAAGGACTTATGCCTGAGCGGGAGCAGAATAGTTTTTCCGGAATAGCGGCTGATTTTGTACAGTAGAGCATTGTTGCTTTTCCGGAAATTCAAGGGCCAGTGTAGACAGCTCGCAGCTTATTCCGGAAAAACGGCTGATTTTCCGGAATAAGTGGCCCAGTGTAGACACAGCCCACTTGTGTTGTGTGGGTAGTTTTGAAGTGCTGTGGCATTTGAATGAAGTAATCTACCATCTGTGCAGTCTCTCTTAGACAGCCAATGAAATTGTTGCATGCATAATAGCTGTAGAGTAAGAGTGATGCCTGGTTGAGTTATCTCACATGTTACAATGGTATTGTACTCTTGGCATGGTATAGATTGGGGTGGGGAACCTAAGGCCAGGGGGCTGGTTGAAGGCCCTGGTTTGCATGGAACCAGCCCCTGAGGCTCAGGACTCCGACTTCACCCCCTCCCCCCAGCATTTGGAGAGCCGGACTGGGGCTCCAGCCCCCCTGTCGCCTCACCATGGGGCTGGAGCACACATAATCTACTAACCTGCCCCCGCCTTGGTGTGCAAGGGGAATGTGAGGAGTGTCTTTCTCCTTCTCAGTCGGAGGCCACATCAGTAAGTGTTTGTTTTTTATTTTTTGCTTCTCACTTGTGTAGCCCCCGTCCGATTTTTCTGTGGGTCGGCAGCACCCAACCCAAAAAAGGTTCCCCACCTCTGGGGTACATTCATAGATTCCAAGACTAGGAGGGACTGTTGTGATAATCTAATCTGACCTGTATATTACATGTCCTAGAACTTCCTTGGATAATATTTTTTGTAAAACATCCACTCTTGATGTAAAATTTGTCAATGATGAGAGAATCCACCATGGCTCGTGGTACATTTTTCTAATTACATACATGTAACATGTCTTGCTGTGACATGGATATAATCCATAAAGTCAAAATGGCTTGAGAACATAAAAATTGGACTGTGATAGCAACAAATCCCACTCGTGATTGAATCTAATGGGTTTGTGAACAAAAGGAATTCTCAGCCATACTTTTAGCTGTTTCCATCACTTCACATTGACCCCACAGACAGTCTTGGCTTCAGAATGAGAACCCAGAAATGATCCTGAATTTCATTTTAAAAATAAACTAGAAGATTTACCCAATATTGCTTGAGTCCTTAACTCAAATAAGTTTTTTGTTTTTCTTCATTTAAATCATTGTTCTGGGGTGGGTTGGGAATGCGGGGTTCAGCATGCAGACTGATCCAGCACTCTCTCAATGTGACAGCTTGGGGACAGGTGAGACGTGCCTGTCAATTAAGGCTGCAGCTGGCATAGCCTGGGGAGAAGTAAATGTCCCCTGGGTGGGACAGACAGACAGACAAACTAACTCTCTGAAATGTATAGGAGATAGCTGTCCCGTTCTCCAGCCCTGCCCTCGCTGCCCTCATTTGGTTATAGCTGCCCTAATCCCCATCTCTGGGCCTTTGCTGCCTTCCTATGGTTATTCTTCATAATAATTCCCTCCTACCAGAACCCTCCCTTTCCATTTTATGAGAAATAATTGAATTCCAGGTACATACCATTGTTCTGGCACAAGCAAACCTTGACCTTGCTTTAAGATATGATAAGAGGAAGCTGTCTTCCAAATTTGGTGATCATAGCTCTTACTATTTAAGAGCAGTTCTTGAACAAATGGACTCATAGTTGAATGGACAGACAGATGCACATTTCTAAATATATAGTAAGATGGTCATCTTGTGTTTATCTTAAACTTGTTGAATTAAATTATACTTATGGAAAAGTTAGATTTATTTTTACTATTACAGGGTTTGCTAAGTGATCATATGGATGCAGTAGATTTCCTCTTGGATCAGCACAATGTAGTTTCCCGTATAAATCCCACAGTTCTTGACACTAAAAGAACATATATAAATTTCATATCTACATCAGGTAAATACTTTTCCTGCCTGATTTGTTATAATTTTTTTCCACTCCTAATAGTAACAAATTATTTTTTAAACTTTACAGTTCCTGTTGGTGTGGAAGATTTCTCCACTTTCTCCTTTTTGGATGCACAAGATAAGAGTGCTGTAATTTCACAGAACATGAAATACTTATCAAAAAAGGGTAACTTTATTTTGTACAACCTTTTAACAATATAATATTGTTTTTCTGCAAATATGGAAATACTTATTTGGAAACTGAGAATAATAAAGAAATGTTAGTGTTGGTCGAGGTAAATATATAAAGAAAGATTGTTCTAATAAGGATCTGTGTAAGCTTGATTTTTTTTTGTTTGTTTTTGCAACATCCAGTATCTCTTGGGTCAGTAAGCTTGTTTGATGATGGACTTGAAGTCATTATGAAAGTTGTTAAAACAATGGCTTAATGGAAGTAGATTAAAGTAATCATGAGAAGTAATCTGATTACTTAAAAACACAAAAAACGAACACAGTGCCTTGTTACTTTTTCAAATCTGTCTTTAATAATGCAGACACAGTCGTATCTTGATGCCTAGTTCAGTCATAGTAACTTTGAAAATAGTTCTTACTTGGCTATTGATTCAAAACTTACTGGCACTGTAGCAGCATGAATGGGCAAAGTCCCCACACTTCTGTCAATGCATATATAGTTCCTCCTCCAGAAAATATGACTCCTTTCTACCTAAATGGAATCTTACAACATATTCTTCATATGTCTAATGCCCTGTTTTTTCTATAGATGTAGGCAAAATTGTTGGAAGGCTTATTCACCTACAAAAATACTTAATATCTAGGTTGCTTTGTTGTGGGAACTCCTTATTCAAATTACTTCAGATTTTCCCCACAAACTCCAATTTTCCAGGCTCATATGACTTGACTTGAAGATTTTAGGGCGATTACAAATTTCAATTTAAAACAGAAACTTAGCTCTTTGTTATACTTTTTCTCTATTTACCACACTTAGTCTCTACATTTATTATAACTCTATCTTGGAAGAAGAGGAAATTATTTACTTGAAGTTTTCTGAAGACTATATTCTGGTACACTTGCTAGCTGAATAAAAAGATTGGATTCTGTAGGTAGTGGATGGGTTTTTTTATTGTCTTAAGATTTTTTTGCCACTACAATAAGGAAGCATTTTTTCTTGCTTATTGTAATATTTCACCTTCAGTTTGAAAGAAATAGATAATTGAAACATTAGAGGTTTGCAATGTACTATTTAGAATTTTAGGGTATGTCTGCACTAGCCCCCTAGTTCAATCTAGGGAAGCTAATAAGGGTGACCGAAATTGCAAATGAAGCACTGGATTTAAATATCCCGCACTTCATTAGCATGTTCCTGGCCGGTCGCCATTTTAGAAATTGACTAGCCCGAAGTAACTGTCTGCATCTACACGCAGCAGTGAAACAGGATTCCGAATTAAAGCCCTAAATCGAATTAGCTGTTAAACCTCATTCCAGGAAGAATAACAGCTAACTCGATATTTAAATCCCGTGCTTCATTTGCAATTTCGGTCGCCCTCATTAGCCTCCCTAGATCAAGCTAGGAGGCTAGTAATAGACATACTCATAGGTAAGTTCCCACCTCACTAAAAGGCAGGAGCAGAGATCATAGTGGTGATCTAGATAAGAAATAATGTGTAGCAGGACCTCACGGGACAGAATAGCTTAATTAACTAAATATTGATGTTTATCATCTGATTATGTTATATCGATGAGAGTCTTTCCTTGATTTAATCTACTCAAACTTTTTGGAGTAAATTTCTTTGCTTAATTTTGCTTTTAGGTGAAGATGTAATATATGCAGTTACCATCTGGATTGTTGCTGATTTTGACAAGCCAGGTGGAAGACATTTGCTTTCTAAAGCTTTGAAACACCTGGTAAGTTTCTAACAATTCCTGTTGGAAAATAATGATTTTAGTGGCAGTGATTATGGAGAATATGAATACTGTCCACAACTCTGTTTTTTAAATTATAGCAGACTAGTTGGAGTTACCCGGTGTTTCTTGGGAAACTGGAGGACCAAAATGTAGAAAAATAGTAGTCCCTTTTTTTTTTTTTTTTTTTGAATGGTAGAAAAGTTGCACTGCTTTCTATAGGGATTAAAATATAGGTCCATGTCATCCTCGGGGGAGACATATCACACTGAAATGTATGTACATTATTTATATTTTAATCAATTTATTTTATAATAATATGGTGAAAATGAGAAATAAGCAAGTGATATGATACTTTTGTACTTTTATGTCTGATTTTGAAAGCAAATAATTTTTAAATGAAATAAAACTTGGCGGTTCAAAAGACAAATCAGACAGGTATAGTAATCTGTAAAAGATAATGACCAATGTTCTAAGGCTATTTCCCTGCATAGAGGACTAAGAAAATAAGTAAACATCAAGTGTGAGAAGATTAAACTGTAAAATTAAATTTATATATATTTCTTTGTTTGCAGAAAACAAGCAATCATATGCGGCTAGGGATTGTGAACAATCCAATGTCAAAAATAATGGAAGATAACACAGCCATTGCCAGGGCAATTTTGACTGCCTTTTTAACGCAGAAAAACAGTAACTTAAAAAGTTTCCTAAGTAAGATATCTAAGGAGGAGACAGCAAAAGCCCTTGCTACAGGAACTAAAATTAAGAAATTGCTTGTTGCGGTCAGTGAAAAACATTTTATTGAATAATAATCATTTGATGACTTTATATAAACTATTGCCCATTTCTTTCTTTGTTTTTCCTTTTCCTTTTTCCATTTCATACTTTACTTCAGTTACATGAGAGGTGGCACATTTCTAGCTGAGAATAACTTTTTATTGCCTGATGTTATGAAGTATAAGACATTTTTATCTCTTATTCGAGTATTTAAAAAGTCAAAGGTTGCTGCACCAACAGTTTCTAAGTGGGTTAGCGTGTTTGTTCATTATTCTTATAAATTAGTAATCATCCACTCCCCATGAGGGAATAGGTTCAGTTCTTCTAAACTAAAGCAGTGCCTCTGTCGTTTAAAAGACATGTCTCACTAACTGAAATATGCAACATGGAGTTCCAGCCACACAATCAGGTATTAGATTTGTCAGGGTAGGTCTTCAAACACTCTTTAATTTCTTCTTTGAGTAGCTTCTACATATTCCCATTCTTGGTCTTGTTTAGCAATTAGTAATCACATTACATGGAGTCCCAATTAATGATACTCACCCATAACCAGATGCTGCATATCTGTATAAGGAACACATCCATTTTGCTCCTCCTTTTGAGTCTTGATTTCCAAACAACCTGAGGGAGATGTAGAAGGAACTGAGGTTGGCAATAGTGCCACCACACATCCTTTTATAGTCTCACCATCAGAATGTTCATGATGTTGAAAGGAAAGGTTGGCATGATGCTTGTGTGCTCCAATAAGCAATGCCTATTAAAGTTTCACCATCTAAACTGCAACTGATCAGCTCATCCCACAAATGTGAATATATAGAGTACAGTTTGAAGAACTCCAGTTACAAGTGAGAAATTTTTATTCATGAGAAATTTTATTTTTCTCCTTCATAATCAATTTTTTTCTGAGTAAGAGCACAAAATATTTTAAATTAACAAAATTCTGAACTTCATTGTAGTAAGAGTCACGATTCTTTAAATGACAGTGTTCTGAGCGCTTCCTGGTAAAAAAATTGCTTAAACTCAGGCAGCCTGGTTCTTCTGTTGTGCTGTTGGTCAAGGGGGAAGTACAAATTAGCTGCTTGGGAGAGACGGAAAGAACTTCTCCAGCCTTAGCTTCAGAGATTGGTCTGAAGTTAAGGCTGGAGGAGTTCTTTCCTACTGTCCTTGTTTTTATGTTGTTTAGTTGTTGTTGTTGTTGTTATAAACAATTTTTCAAAAACCCCAACTGACTATCACTCTGTTTTGTTTTTTGCTGAAACTGGTGACCATCTTGCACCTTACTTGTGCTTTAGGGAATGGATGACAGTACTTTTGAGAAGAAATACAACACTATAGGACTGGATATAATTCAGACTCACCAGCTATTCTGTAAAGAAGTTCTTAAACTGCTTCCTGGGCAAATGGCTGTTGTCAGCAATGGTAGGGTAAGTAAACAAGCAGTTTATTTTCATATTCTCCATGTAAGTTCTCTTTCTTCTTCGAGTGATTGCTCATGTGCATTCGAATGAGGTGTGCGTGTGCCACATGCACAGTTTCTGGAGCGGTTTTTCCCCCAGCGGTACCCAGCAGGTTGCCTCCTGGAGTGGCGCCGCTATAGCAGGGCATAAGTACCCCTCTGGCCCTCCCCCTTGTCAGTTCCTTCTTACCGCCTGTGACAGTTGTTGGAGCTTCTCTATTCTTGTGACAGAACCCAGCAATAGCTAGTTGTTTTGCCTGTTGGTAGTTTCTTCTTCCAGTTATTAGTTTTCTAATAGTTTCTAGTTTGTTGTTACCGTTCGTGCTCTCTCCCTCTGGGGAGGGGGATGCCAGGCCCGCACGGCTTTAAACCCTGTATGTCCTGCACGAAGCCGATGCCGAGAGGAGACCCCCATGACTCATGCCTAAAATGTCTGGGAGAGTCTCATCTCACTGACTCCTGTAAGATCTGTAGGAGTTTTAAGCCTCATACGAAGCGGGAGAGGGATTCCTGCTTAAAACTGTTACTGATGGAGTCGGCTCTCCAACCGGTGCGTAGTGCACCGATGCTAGTGTGGGAAATTCAACCGGGGCCTTCCCGTAACATGGCACCGAAGAGCTTGGCACTGAGGCACCAATCCCAGTCTCCGGTGCCGAAGAAGGGAAAGGAGGCGAGTGGCAAATCGCCTAGTCACAAGACCCATGGAGGCTGGCCCTGCCCTCAGTCTCCACTCCTAGACTCTCTTAGAGGCAGCCACAATGTCGGTGCACAGGGGAGAAGGGAGACTACTGCACATGGACAGAGTTCGGGACCAATCCTGGCGCACCATCCATCCACCCCGGAGACCTTTGAGGTGGCACAGAAGCTCATTGAGCTAACGACTTCACCTCCGTTGTCGCTGTGCCCTGGAGAACTTTCGCCTGCAGTACTAGGGGCAGCACCAGTAGCGGCAACTACACTGGTGGCCTGGTCAGCACTGGCTTCTGCACTGGCAGTGGCCTGTTCCATGCGGCACCAACTGTTGCCGCACCTCCCCAGAGCTCCTGCCATCTGCCGGCACCGCTTACCTTGGCACCACTATTGGTGCCTGCAATATCGGCACCAGGTCAGGTGCAGACGGCTCCTGGTACCGGTGCTCCGGCACCATTGTCGATGGGGCCGCCGAGACAACCGCATGCGGGGAAGCCCGAGTCTATGGAGAGGTACAGGCTACATCACCTCTCCAAGCCACCCTCTACAGCACCGCTATGGTCTGCTTCAGACTACTCTTTGGAGTCAGAGCTGGAGTCGGTGCGCTCCGTGGGCTCGTTTAGGGTCTCTTCCCAGTACCGCTCCCGGTCTCAGCACTGTGCTGGGACTTCTGAATTCCAGCAGACTTGGCCCCCACAGGCCCAGCCACCCTGGCCTTTCTGGATGCTGTGGGCCTATCATGAGTGGCAGGTGCCCATGCCACTGTTGTGGGGATTTAGTGTCTTGCACCGAAGAAGTATCCCATATGCCTCAGTGTCAAGACCCCCCAAGGCGGCTAGGGTGGACAGCCCGCAGAGGCAGGAACTGACTGTTAAATGAGGAGAAATCTCTGTTAACTCCTTCTCAGGACATAGAATTTGTGGGAGCCTACATAGACGCCACAAGAGGAAGGGTGTATCTCCCCATGGCCATGTTCCAAACTATAGCGACCATGGGCACAAGACCTTACGCTGCCTCCACTTACAACGGCCCGGACATGTATGAAGCTTCTCAGACATATGGCGGCCTGTACTTATGAGGTTCGCCACACCAGGTTGAGACTCAGACCCCTACAAGCCTGGTTGTCGAGGTTGTTCAACCAGGCCAGGGCTCATTGGGACTCTGTCCTGTCATTGCCTGTGGGGGTAGTGGACTCTTTGCAATGGTGGACTCGACAGGAGAAGGAGTGCAAGGGAGTCCCCTTCCTGGGTGAGGTACCCTTGGTCAGACTGATAACAGATGCCTCGGATGAAGGGTGGGGCACTCACATGGTGCACCACAGGACGCAGGGATTGTGGGCCCCTCACGAGAAGGGCTTACATACAAATGTTAGGGAGTTGAGAGTGGTAAGGAGGGCGTGCAAGGTCTTCCTAGCCCAACTCTCAGGGAAAACAGTGTCAGTGCTGCTGGACAATACAGCAGCTAAGTTTTATATAAACAAGCAGGGGGAGGGGCTTGCTCCTCTCCCTTATGTCAGGAAGCTGTTCTCTGTTGAGAATTGTGTACAGCCCACAACAGTCACCTCCAGGCAGCATATCTGCCGGGTAGCAAGAATACACTGGCAGACACGCTAAGCCGGTCATTCAGGGCCCACAAATGGTGCTTGAAGGATGCTGTCCTTTTACCTCTCTTCCAGAGGTGGGATCATCCCCAGGTGAACCTGTTCACTACAGAAGTGAACAGGAAGTGCCCCCATTATTTCTCGTTCCTGGGCCACAGTGTCTCCTGCCCATTCAGGACCTGGTCCCTCAACCTTGGGACGGAGGTCTCCTGTACCACCCAAACGTCAGGTCCCTCCACCTTACAGACTGGCTTATCCATGGTTGACAGAGCCAGAGCTGGTTTGTTCCGAGGGTGTGCAGACGGTTCTTCTGAGGAGCAGAAAGCCGGCTACCAGGTCATTCTATGCAGCCAAATGGAAGAGGTTTTCCCTGTAGGCAGTCAGTGGGGAGCTAGACCCTTGTTTGGCCCCGGTACCAGTTATCCACAACTACCTCTTTGAGCTGCGTCAAACGGGCCTATCTACCTCTTCCATCAGGGTCCATTTGATGGCCATGTCGGCCTTCCACCTCAGGGTTGGTGGCAGATCCCTTTTTACTAACCATGTTAAGAGGTTCCTCAAGGGCCTACATAGGTTGTTTCCTCACGGGCACCTGTGTCTCAGTGGTACCTTAATCTGGTGCTTACTAAGCTTATGTCTCCCCCGTTTGAGCCCTTAGCCACGTGCTCGCTTAAGTACCTGTCGCTTAAGGTGGCCTTCATAGTATCTATAACCTTGGCGCAGAGGGTGTCCGAGCTCAGGGCTTTGACGGTAGAACCCCTGTATTTGGTGTTCTCCGCAGATAGGGTCAGCCTGCGTCTGCACCCGGCCTTCCTCCCTAAGGTAGTCTCCTCGTTTCACATGTCTCAAGACATTTATTTACCTGTTTTCTTTCCAAAGCCCCACCACTCCCCTAAGGAGTAGGCCTTACATTCATTGGACGCGAAAAGGGTATTAGCCTTTTACATAGACAGAATGAGTTACTTTCGCAGATCATCTCAGTTGTTAAGAAGGGGTTGCCAGTATCAGTCCAAAGACTGTCCTCTTGGATTTTTTCGTGTGTCCGGGAGTGTTATATCCTGGCACACAGGGAGCTGCCCCAGGTTAAGGCTCACTCCACTAGAGCCCAGGTGTCCTCAGCAGCTTTTGTGGCACAAGTCCCAATAGTGGACATTTGTAGAGCGGCCACGTGGTTCTCTGTTCACATGTTTATGGCGCACTATGCTATTAGCCAGCAGGCCAGGAATGATGTTTTTCGTGTGTCCGGGAGTGTTATATCCTGGCACACAGGGAGCTGCCCCAGGTTAAGGCTCACTCCACTAGAGCCCAGGTGTCCTCAGCAGCTTTTGTGGCACAAGTCCCAATAGTGGACATTTGTAGAGCGGCCACGTGGTTCTCTGTTCACATGTTTATGGCGCACTATGCTATTAGCCAGCAGGCCAGGAATGATGCTGCTCTGGATTCCGCGGTTCTCAGTTCAGTTCTGTAAACCTAAAAAAAAAAAAAAAAAGTTTGGTCAATATTTAAGTACTTCGGATGAGTTGTTTATTGTGTTGAATAAATTTATGATTGATTTGTTATGACCGTTGAGCTGTATTGTCCTTAGGAGTGCATCTCCAACACTGCCTCCGTATGGTTTTAGCTCGGGAGTCACCTCATTCAAATGCACAGGAGCGATCACTCGAAGAAGAAAAGACGGTTACTTACCTGTGACTGTTCTTCGAGATGTGTTGCTGGTGTCCATTCAGTTCCACCTCCTCTTCATCGGAGTCTCCGGCAAGAAGGAACCGAGGAGGGGGAGGGCTGGCAGGGATACTTATGCTCCACTATAGCGGTGCCACTCCAGGGGGCGACCTGCCGTCCCAATGGGTACCGCTGGGGGAAAAAACGCTCCAGAAACCGTGCATGCAGCATGCGCACACCTCATTCGAATAGATATGAGCAACACATCTCAAAGAACAACAATTACGAGTAAGTAACCTTCCTTTCTTCTCCTTGAACTTTTATTTGTACTCAGGAATATAGGAAATGCCATGCTGGAATTGACCATAGGCCCATATGGTTCAGCATCTTGTTTTTGACAAAAGAATATATGAGAAATACTGCAGTACCCGCTATGGGATAGCCTGCCTGCAGAGAAGGATTCTCGTAACTCCAATAATTAGAGGTTGTCTTATGCCATAGTGTAAGGGATTATATCCCTTCCAAAATTCTTTTATAAAATATATATTTGTATGACTTGCTCAACAATTCTCAGTCTGAAGTTTTAAAATATTCTGGAGGTTCTTCTTCAAGTGCTTGCTCATTTCCATTCTATTTAGGTATGTGCGCACTGCTTGCATGGATTCCAGAGCTTTTTGCCTCAGCAGTACCTGTTAGGCCAGCCAGGGAGCCCAGTGGAGTGGCGCTGCTATATCAGTGCATATATATCCTTTCTGGCCCTCCACCCCCTCAGTTCCTTCTTGCAGCCCGTGTCTGTAGTGGTAGCGCCTGACTGATTGATAGTCCAACCCTCAGCTTTGTGTCTATAGTAGTTAGTATTAGTTGAAGTTTTTTGTTAGTTGTAAATAGTTTTCTGGTAGTTAATTAGTGGTTAGGGGAGTTTTCTACTTCTCTCCCCCCTCTGGAGAGAGGGGATGCGCAGGCCACATTGGGTTCAAGCACTTAACACACAGCTTGAATCTATGTGGCCTGCGGCAGCCACCATGGCTCTTGTTTAAAGCATCTGGGAGAGGGCCAGGTACATTGCTCTTGATTTAAAGGACACACACTTTCACATCTCTGTGATCCCAGCTCTCAGGAGATTCTTGAGATTCACCATAGGGCTAGATCATTTTCAGTTCTTGGTCCTCCTGTTTGGCCTCTCTACAGCACCTTGAGTCTTCACAAAATGCATGGCAGCTGTAGCAGCCTTCCTAAGGAGGCATAGAGTGTAGATATTTCCCTACCTGGATGATTGGTTAATCAGGGGTTCGTCCAGGAATCAAGTGCTATGACATATAGATCTAGTCAAGGGCCTATTCCACAGGTTGGGTCTCCTCATAAATGAGAAATCCATGCTCAATCCCACTTAATAGACTTTGTGGGGGCTCATTTGGACTCCACTACTGAGATGACCACCCTCCCCAAGACCAGGTTCATCGCCATGAGGGCTGTAATTGAGGGACTCAAGTTTTCACCTCTTACAATGTCAAGAAACTGCATAAGACTGCTGGGCCATATGGAACCCTGTACTTATGTGGTGCAGCACGCCAAGGAGATTTATTTGGGCATAAGCGTTAGCATATCAAAAGAAGGGAGTTACTTACACTTGATATCCCTTCTTTTGATGTGTGTGTGTGTGTGTGTGTGTGTGTGTGTGTGTGTGTATTTTTTTTAAAAGTTTGTGCATATGTCTGTGTGTCATCCACCCATCTGTGAATCTGTTTGTTCGAGAACTCCTCCTAAATGGTAAGAGCTAGCACCATCAAATTTGGTATTCAGCTTTCTCTTATCATAACTTACAGCAAGGTCAGCATTTGGTTGTGCCAATACAATGGGATGTATGTGGAATATGATTGTTTCACATCAGTTGGAAAAGGAGGGGTGTGAGAGCAGGGACAATTATACTCACGAATGACCGAAGAGGGGCAGCAAGCACCTCAGCCACAGGGAGCAGTCAATGGCCAGCAGCATGGCCCCTGCCACCCATGCCTGCTCCAGGGAGTAGTTGCCAGTTTCTTTGAGGCCCATGCTGCCCCAGGCCAGCCTTGTTGAGAAGCCAGAAGTATAATGCTAGAAGGAATAAACCAATTAAAATTTTCTTTAGTCACTATTGTAACAAGATGACCCAAAATACATATAACAATCAACATGTTGAATAAGATCATGCAGTTTTTCAGAATCACATTCCTGGCCAAAAGAACACTTTATATATCTCTGCTTTTCATTCAGTTATTCAGTGTCTGATGTTTTATTTAGGAATAATAATAACTTCTAAGACCTAGAATGAAATCCTGTCCACATAGAAGTTGGTGGCAAAACTCCCATTTGAATTCCCATTGCCTTTTCAACAGTTTCCTAAAATTAAATTGAAAAACTTCTCTAGTCTGTACTAAACCTCTCTAGTCTGCCACTCTCCAGTCCGGCAACATCCGTGGTCTGGCATGTTTCCTGCAGTCCAGTAAAGTTTGTTTACATCCACCAGTCCCCACTTTCATTGTTCTGTGCTGTTATTTAATTCTAATTTACTCCTAAGTGTCTTCTAAGAGCCCAATAAGCAGTGGAAGTGTTGGTAATGCTTCTAGACAATATGGACTTCCTGTGGTTCATCAAATTCTCCAGTTCGGCACCTGTCAGGTCCCGAGGGTGCCAGACTAGAAAGGGTCAATCTGTGTTGCAATAATGTTTTTAGAGTTTGATTCAAAACCCATTAAAATCAACTGAGACACTCCCACTGACCTTAGTGGCTTCAGTTAGGCCCTTCAGTAATCTTCATTAATGTAGGCCCTTTTACTTAATTTTCTGAAAACATTACCTGTCCATTTACTTCTACTAAGACAGGAAAGCTGAAACTTCACTATTTTCTTTTTACAAAATCATGTGTTTTGGTGTGTGTAAATGTATTCATGTTCTTATGTTTTGGCATGTGTATGATAGAACGTATTGATTTCCCAAATTTTTTTTAGACGTTGTGCACACAAATATACTAAAATAGTTCTGATATAGGACACGATCAAGGTATTATAGGATTAAACAACTAAGCAGAAGATGATTGTTTGTGTTCAAATGTTGTACTTTTTTTTCTTTGAGCTTTTATTTAAAAGAAATTTATGTTGCTGAATAATAAATTCCTATACATAGGCATATATAATGGGAATTCTGTGATAGTCCTATTCATTTTGGACCTCCCTGGTCCAGCATTCTCGGGACCTCACCAGTCCCGAATAAGGGAGTTTGCTGGACCTGGAGAGGACAATTCTGTCCCTCTTATGGTGGACTCCTAGCTCTCCCTGGGTCTGTCAGCTGACCCAGTGGTATTCCCCTGACCCTAGGCTAGTAGCTTCCTGGCTCTGCCATCCAGTCCCAGCCTCCACTGCCCCAAGGACACTGGGGCTGCTGGTTTCCACTCCCCAGGACTGCTGGGGCTTCCAGGCTCTGTGGCTCCAGAGCAACCAGGGCTTCCCAACTCCAGGGCCGCTGGGGCTCTGCTCCTCGGGGCATCAGCTGCTGTAGCTCCACTGCCCCAGGTCCACTGTGGCTCTGCTTCCCTGAGGCAGCAGGGGCTGCTGCAGCTCTGCTACTCTGGGGCTGCTACAGCTAGCCCCATGGCCTCCCAGCTCTCTGGTCCAGAGAGTCCCAGATGAGAGACGTTCAAACTGTACATTCAGTCATGGATGTTCCTCTTGTAACTGTTATTAGATACATCCCTTGTTTGCCTGATTAATTTTTCCTAATTGCTGTTAAGGATATCACCTTAATGGAGGAATGTATAAATAAAATATGGTGTAGTTGAATTTAATTAATAGTATATTGTAAATGTTGGAATTTTCACAGCATAAATAGTAAAATTTATTGGTATTCTGGAGACAGATTCTTAATACTTTAATAATTTTTAAATTATTAAAAATTGAGCATATTTTTTGCTTATACAGGAAATATTTTTAAAAACCTAAGCTTTTACTAAAATATTATCATTTGTTTTTCTCTTAAGGTCCTGGGTCCTTTGGATGAAAATGAATTCCATACTGATGATTTTCATTTGTTAGAAAAGATAACATTTAGTACCTCAGCAGAGAAGATTAAAGGCATTGTCAAAGAGATGGGGATCAGCTCGCAGCGGTAAAATGGTTTTGGGAATCTGTTGTCTGAGTGCATTGGAAACTCATTGAAGTTATTTTTTTATCACCTGTGACTAATCATTTCACTTTCATCTAGAGTACGTCTAGGTCTTTTAGTTTTTGTCCATATATATTGTACTCTAGGGGTGCATGTGCCCCATGTGCTTGAGCTTGGATTCTTTTGGCCATTGTCTTCTGTTGAGACTGTTCTTGTTCTCCAAGGGTATGTCTAGACTGCATCCCTCTGTCATCAGAGGGATGCAGATTAGGCAGGTCGACATTGCAAATGAGGCAGGGACTTAAATATCCTGTGCCTAATTTGTATAAAAATGGCTGTCGCGTTTTGCCGACTCAGCACTTTGTCGGCAAAAAGCAGCAGTCTAGAGGGGGATCTGTAAAGAAAGAAAGCCTTTTTCGACAGATCCTGTAAACCTCCTTGCAGGAGGCATAAGGGATATTTAAATCCCTGCCTCGTTTGCAATCTCGACCTGCCTAATCTGCATCCTTCTGCCGACAGACCCCAAGTGTCCTTGTGCCTACCATCCAAAGTAGGGATGTCAACTTGTAGCTGACCACATAATTAACCGATAAGTCTTGGTTAATCCTATCGACTACACACACTCCCCCTCACTTGCTGCCTCTGTATGAGAGGCAGCAAGGGGGGTGCAGGAGGCAGTGCCTGTGAGGAACATCTGCCTACCCCGCACTTCCTTACTGCTGCCTTTCATAGAGCTCCCCGCAGACAGAGCCTGGCCCCACCATGGACAGCAGCTGGTCCACGGCAGCAGCCACTGTCCGTGGAGATCTTGGACACACACCCCATGGACAGGCACTGCTGCTACAGAGTAGCCTGTGTCCACAGAGAGCTTGGACCCCTGCAGACAGGCGCTGCTGCCCCTGTATCAGAGGCAGCAGCGTGGGTGGTTTTTAAACTGACTCCTCTCGCAGACCAGCTCTCGCCTGCCACTCCGCACTGTTGCTTCTGATAGAGGCAGCAATGCAGGGTGGCAGAGCACTCCCCAGGAAGGGGGCCAAGAGCGCACTGGCTGCTGGCTCTGCCCCCTTGAACTATCGAATAGTCATGTAACAACTAAGATTTCATACGGTTACATGACTATTCAATTACATGATATCTAACATCACTAATTCAAAGGCATAAAAGGTGGAGTGACTCCAGCTGTCCCTTATTTCCTACTTACTACCTATGGCTTTGGGTGTAGGCACTTAGGCAGTGTCTCAGGCTATGACAACACTAGCACATACTGCAGTACAGTATTAGTTATGTCACTAGGGGGTGTGAAAAAGCAGTCCCCTTGAGTAATACAAGTCACACCAACTTAAGCATTGATATAGACAGTGTTATGTCAGCTTTCCTTCTGACACAGCTGCTGATTTACATGAGGCTAGAGTTGTTAAGCTGACAGGAGACCTTTTACCTTTCTCCTTTGACAGTTACACTAGAGAATTTACAGCATTGCAGCTGCATCTTTATAGCTCTGCTGCTGTAAATGTTTTAGTGTAGCTGTATACTGATCTTCTCATTCACATGAGCTCATGTTCTTGTGTGAAGAGTTGTAAATAACCTTGGAGTTACTTGCATTACTCTTTAGTTGTAGGTTTTTCACAATGTTTCCTTGAAAAACTAAAAAAAGCAACATACGATTTTTTTTTGGTGAGATTTTCCTAGTTCCTTATGGTGAAACAAGTCTGTGGGACTTGAAAACTGTCCTTTTCTTTTAAGATAATAATGCCCTATAATGAAGGGTATACCAGATGTTTATTATGCTTTAATAAAAAAACACATTCCTGAAAGGTGTACCATTTGCAAGTCATGCACCCCTCTTCAAATCCTTTAAAGCTGGTTCTCCACGCCTGCCGACTCTGCTGAGCCAACTGTCCCCCACCTTGCTGCTTCTCCACAGAGATCTGCAAAGATAACTCCTGTTATCTATTGGTGTATTTTCCAATGCTGCTGTTATTGCCACAATTTCAGCTGCTTGTGCTGAGTGAAGGTATACACTGGCCCCCAAAAACAATCCCATCTGGTACTTTTACTGCAGAATATCTTGTATATGGCTTTCTTTTATTATAGTAGCTAGACCCAACCACAAATCTTCACTTTTTCTGATGTCCCTTAGCTCTGCTCCATCTCTGAACACTGAAGATTCGTTCAGAGGGAATTCAAGCAGGGGACATTTCTGCTGTTCCCCTTCTATCATAAGACCATATGGAAGTGGAGCTAGGACTGGCACCTTTTACTTGATCCCATTTTTATTTAGTAATGCTAATATTAATTTAGCTATCCAGGGACTAGAAACATGGCCATCATTAATCTTCCCTGCTAGTACACTTTACCAGAGAGTGGGATGTTTTAAGAGGTATTGGAAGCAATCTTATAAAATATTCCCAATGAAATAGGGCCCGAAAAGTTCCTGCTCTACCCCATTTAAGATCTTACTGACATATGCTACCAGTTGAAGTCCTGTTTTGGGATCCTGACTAACACTGCACTTACATCCATTATCAGTGATAGTTAACTATAGTTTGTTTGCTTGCTTGCTTGTTTGACAGAACAAAACTAAGAAAGCTGAGAAAAAACAATAAAAACTCAGATAAAACATTGTAGAAACTCTAGGAATAAGTAAGATGCAGACAAAAGATGGACTGATTAGCTGTGGCTGCTCATGGGAGTTCTCAGAGGGAATTTTTCAACCAATAGCAAAAAGAAAGGAACAGAGATGTGTGGCTACAAGTGGATTTTTACACTTAAAACTGCAGGACTGTGTATTCCATCTCGTTAAATGCATGGAGGGGCACGTCTCCAGAACTATAGATGTAGCAGTTCTTGGTCAGTCATATTGTAAAGACTTAGAGACTCAAGATTAAAAAGCTTGTGACTATAATGTCCTTAAGGTATCATATTTTGCCTAATCCATTATGCAGACATATATACATTGAAAATGAATCTTTTGTTCTCTTTTTATTAGAAAAATCATGTATTAACTGAGTTTGTTTTATTATACCAGTGGTAGTGATTTGATTATGAAAGTGGATGCCCTACTCTCTTCATTGCCTAAAAGAGGCGTTAGACAAAAAGTTGAGTTTCTCAAAGAGCAACACAGGTAAGTTCAGCCTCTCATCATAAATGCATATACAGTTATGACATCTTAATATTAAAAATTAATAATGCTTCAAGTACTGTATGAAATCTTCCAGAACTTCAATAAACATTTTTTTGTTTTAAAAGAAGAAACTGACTTTGTGATTGTACAAGCAATTTGGAAACCTAATGAGCAACGTGGTCCTTTTTAACCTCACTATTGAAACAGGACTGTGCCATTCTGATGGATGATGGTACTGCTCCTCATTGCTACCTCTGTTTGTAATAAGAGTGGGTAGGCTCTTACTGCTGTGCCTTGGCTGCTACAAGAATATATTAAAAGCTAGCAGACCTATTTACATTGTGCTTCAGAGCCATTCAGTGAGTTTAGAGTATGTGTTTGTTGCTTACCCTGTCTCATTGACCCTGGACTTGGGGAGCCAGTGAGAGTCAGTATGTCACTGGAGTCTATTTGTTGCTAAATGAAACTGGAAAATACTACCGTTCACATCTTTAAATCTGTATTGGGAGGAATAGAAATGGGGCAAGAGAAGGTTGACTCCTTTCTTCTCAATGGTAAACTCACAGTAGCCATCTTTAGTTTTACTTTCTTTCAGTGGCAGAGACTTTTTTAATATGTAAAGGCAGAAAGGGCAACATTAGAACCATGAATGAAAAACGTGAATAATAGAACCTTCCTGAACACTCATTTATCCTCCTGTAATCACCACTCCCAAGTTCCTGTTCAGTTTTATTGGCAAAGTTGCTATTGTGTACTATGTCTTGCCCTGCCTTTGTAGCATAGTGAGAGGAAGAAAAGCCGTACCAGCTGCCAGTTGCAAGTACCTTAGCCCTGTTTCAAAGCAAACTGAGAACTTGAGATGACATAGTACTCTCCCATGGAATGTAGGATGTGTAACTTCTTCTTCGAGGGTCCCTGTGGGTGCTCCACTTAGGTGTGTCTGCACTATTGAGCAATTGCCCCAATTGACCTGGTGACCATTCCCTCAGTTCCTTCTCATCCGCAGCTGGCATCAGTCGCACTTAGTCAGTCTCCCTAATAGCATCAAAAGGAAACAGAAAGAAGAGAAAAAGAAAAGAGAAAAGAGGAAAAGGATAACAAAAGAAAGAAAGATTCAGGGGGTAGCTGAGTTAATCTGTATAGGATAAACTTAAAAAACAACAAATGGTCTGGTAGCATTTTATAGACTAACAAAACATTTAGATGGGATCATGAGCTTTCGTGGTCACAGCCCACTTCAGTGGGTTGTGCCCACGAAAGCTCATGATACCATCTACATGTTTTGTTAGTCTATAAAGTGCTACCTGACCATTTGTTATTTTTTAAGTTTAACAGAAAGAAAAGCAGGCGGAGCTGCACACGGGTGCTTCTGCTGCATCCCTCTTGCCTGAGAGACAACACAAACAAACAAACAAAAACCTGTTCTGCCCTCATCATTGGGCTTTAAAAGGTCTACAGAGTGTAAGACAGCAATCTCAACAGCAGACGGGCATGACAGTGCCTTCGCGGGCTAGGGCAAGACCATCGGTCTCTGCCTGCATTGCTAGAAGCCTACCCCACGCTCTAAGAGCGTGAAAGAATTACACAGCAGACTGGTATTTTTGGACAACATGGCTGAGTCACAGCTTCATTCGACCCTCCCCCAGTGATAATCCTCTTGGGGAGGAGGGCAGGAAGAGCACTCCCTCGCAGGGACGTGCTAGAGAGCAGGACCTGGAATGAAGAGTGAGAGTGGGAGAGATAGCAGCACTCATGATGGACCCATTGTACATCGAATTCCACAAGGACAAGGTTGTTCTTGGAACTCACCCGAAATTCCTCCCCAAAATATCTACCTCATTCCATTGTAATGACCGATATATCTATCTATATTCTTCGTGAAACCACACGAGGACAGCAACCAGGCAGCGCTGCACATGCTGCATGTACGCAGGGCATTAGCCTTTTACCTGGAACGCATGAAATATCCCCGAAGAACATCCAGACTATTTGTGTCTTGCGCAGATAGGTCCAAAGCTGAACCTGTCTCCAAACAGCAAATATCCACATGGAGTCCTACTTGCATATAGTTGGCTTACTCCCAGAAACACAGACAGCCACCAACTGCTCTCTGGGTGCGCTCCACGAGAGCAGTATCTACCACAACTGCGTTCCTCAAGGGTCTTCCAATAGACATGATTTGCAGAATTGCAACATGGGCTTCGGCCAATATCTTTGCACGACATTATGCTATTCGGTCCTTTTAGGACTCAAACACTAGATTTGGACATACCATACTGTCCAACATCCAACCCTGCATCATGGAGCACCCATCACCAAGCAGGAACACTGCTTTGTAGTCACCTAAGTGGAGCATCCATGGGGACCCTGGAAGAAGAAGGGAAGGTTAATCATCTTGTGCAGTAACTGGAGTTCTTCGAGATATGTCCCCGTGGGTGCGCCATACCCACTTTCCTCCCCTCTGCTCCAGGCTAACACAATCTGGCGTAGAGAAGAAACAGAAGGAATGGCCGCCAGCATGTGCCTATCTGTCAGTCAGGGTGATTGTGCAATAATGCAGCATGCGCTGGCAGCCGGGAAACTGCTAGCAAAGATCTCCAAGCCATGTGCACAGCAGCGCTGACACACCTAAGTGAAGCACCCACAGGGACACATCTCGAAGAACTCCAGTTACTGCACAAGATGAGTAACTTTCCCATCACTTTCCCTGTCTGCACTCCTGGCAGCATCTAACTGATATGTTGTTTAGTGAAAAATAGTGTGAATACACTAAGTGTATTTGTAATGCATGATTTATTAACTTATGTGTTAAATTAGGGACTACTGTAATTTATTCCTTATGGTTCTAGCTTTCTCTAATCAGGGATCTATGATTAATATATTATTTCCTTTTAATCTGGTTTGCCAAAACGAATCCCATTCTATTATATTTAACATTAGTTTTCATTTTTTAATTAATTTTTTACATCTAATTTCCGTCTCTGTTGACTCTTACTAACGCTTGCAAAATCTGATGATTCAGGGTAGAGGATAATGGGCCATTCCGGCAGTTTATTTACTTACCAGCTCCACAGCCAGAGAGCCTCGCAGCTCCCATTAGATCTGGTTCACTATTTGCAGCCAAGGGGCGCTATGAGAAGCGAGACTGGGTACTGGTGGCTTCAGGTTGAGATTTGTGTAAACTTCATTTGCCATTAAACTAACCCAAGAAAGAGGTACTGTGAGTTACAATATACACTATCTGGTGTACTTGAGGGGACTAATGGGGTCGGGTGCGCGTCAAGCAACCGCTGGCTATGAAGAGGTGCTCAGTAGGCAGCCACAAAATTGGGTAGTGAGTAGGATCAAAGACACTCCCCACACCAAGGAAGGAAATGCGTATTAAAAAGATGGAGAATTTTTCTGTTTGTGAGCTGATCAGTAGCAAAAGGCAGAAACCTTCCTCCTGAAACTTCTGCAGAAGCAAAGGAGGTACATTTTTGCCAACCAGTTTCAGTAAGAGGAGTCCCAAAGGGGCACTCAGTAGCTGGCCACATCTCTATACTGTGGTTATGGGTACTTGAGGAAGATTCTGGCTGATATTGCTTCCATGAAAGTTTTATAATGAGCAGAAAAAAGGAAAGTATTTCTGTTCTTACTGTGCTTTTCTGGACACTTCACAAGAAGACTCTGATAAATGTTTGGAACAATGTCTTGTATTGAAAAATTCTTAAAGGTGGTGTAAAGTGCTAAAATAAGATACATTCAGAACTAAGAAAACACATTGATAATTATTTGCACACTTTTAATTTATAATTTTTCATTTCACTTATGTTTAACATTTTTTAACAGCGTAGTAAAAATAGATCCTAAAGAGAATGAACCATTCTATGATGTTATTGCCATTGTTGATCCTTTAACAAGAGAAGCACAGAAGATGGCACATTTATTGATTGTAAGACAATGTCGATTTCTTTTAATTTGTACTTTTTTGTACTTTATCTTATACTAAGCATGTTTTGGTTTTTCTTATTTTTACGTGAAATACATGTATGTACATAAAATATGTAAAAAAAATTACAGCCTAGCATTTATCTGACAGATGAGTTTAACTGAAACTGTCAATTGCTTAATAATATAGAAAACTAGAAGATTTGCCCAGCATTGCTTGGGTCCTTTCAGGCAGAAGGTTGGGGGTGGGATGCAGAAGTCGAGGCAGGGGTTTGGGAATGTGGTGACTCAGGGCCCGGGGCTGGAGGAGTACAGGAATCAGGGCAGGGGTGGGGGACTTAGTATAGGGTGTGCAAGATGTGAAGGGCACAGGGCACAGGATTCACGGGGGGCTTAGGGTAGAAGACTGGGAGATCTTGGGGGGGGGGCTCACCAGGATCACCTGCATTGGTGAGGGTGGTGCTGCTCTGGTGGCTGCGACTCCCTGGGGTGTCCAGAGCCATGTTGCCCAGCCGGCGGCAACTCCCAGAGGGCTGACTCTGTGCTGGTGGCTCCTATGGACGGGTGGGTGGGGGCTGTGCTGTCCAGTCCTAGCCAATGGCTCCTCAGGAGCGGGGGTAGCTCTGCTGCCCAGCCCCGGCCCATGGCTTCTGTGGGAGACGGGGAGGAGGAGGATTCTGCTGCTCAGCCCTAGCCCCTGTCTCCTCCAAGGGGAATGTGGCTCCACTGTCTGGTCATGGCCTGCAGCTCTTTGGTGGGGGGCGGGATTCTGCTGCTTGTCCCCAACCTGTGGCTCCTCGTGTGGGGGCATGGCCATGCTGCCTATGAGGTCATGTTGGCTGGGACACTGGTCAGCAGGGCTCCCACTCTCCATCCACCACTGCGGCTGAGAGCTAGGGGAAGAAGGGATTGGGGCAGGGGGGCCACTTACTTGTGGTGACCCCAGCAGGTGACTCTCTTCCTGGTGTGGCTCCCCCTGTGGTCACTGCAGTATAACTGTCCCCTGAGCTTGCTGCCCCCAGTGGTCATTGTGGAGCATAACTGTTTCTGCTCTCAGTCCCTTTTTCCTTTCCATGTAATGGAAAACAATCCCATTCCAGGCACTTCCCGTATTCCTGTCACAACCAAATCTTGACCTTGCTTTAAGTTAGGATAAGAAGAAACTGCATATCAATTTTGGTGATCTTAGCTCTTATAATTTTGGAGGAGTTCTTGAACATTCAGATGGACGGACTCCCAGACAGATAGGGTGCATCCAGACAGCACCCTTCTGTCGGAAAAAGCTACGCAATTTGAACTACATTTATTATGTAGCTTATTCCGAGTCTAGATCCAAAGAGCTGATTTTGAAATTTGGCATTGTGTAGACAGTGCCAAATTTCAAAGTAAGGCACTATTCTGACAAATCTCTTAACCCTTGTGCAACAAGAGTTACAGAGATGCCAGAATAGCGTGCACGTTATTTTGGGAAATAGAGGGAGCATTAAAAGATGAAGTGTTGCTATTTCGGGATACTTCTGGTATCCCAAAATAGCACCGCAGTCTAGACGTACCCATAGAGAGATGCATAAACTCTCTAAAATACATATATGTAGATGAATGTCTTCATTAAAAGATCTCCATAAAGTTGGTTCAGAATGCGGCTACTTCCCTGGCTCTGGAGCTCAGTAGGTCCTTCCCCTCCTGCAGTCTGCTCCAAGTGAGTCGCTGTAGGGCTTTTTATACTCAGGCTCGCCTGTGATCATGTCCAACAGGGCCATGGGGGAGGGGCTCTTCAGCTAGCTGGGCCCAGCCCATAGTCAGTTCTTCAGTGCAGGTCCAAAGATACCCCGTTACACTGGGGAATGCCGGTTCAGAGTAGTGAGTCACCTGGGCCAAGAACTGCTCCTTAACCTCTTCAGTTCTAATGTGGAGTAAATATACCCCATCACAGAGGGAAATGATTTTTCAAGAGAATAATTTGTTTCCAAAGCCAAAGAAGCTTGATCACTCCCAAACCAATTTTTTAATATAGAAACAAAATTTCTTTTCTGTTAGGTACTTGGAGATATTGTCAACATGAAACTGAGGCTGTTTATGAACTGTAGATCTAAGTTGTCAGAAGTTCCTTTGAAGAGGTGAGTAGGAAATTATAGCTGTTCTTTGAGAGAGGTGATATAATATGATTAAAAGGAGCTGCAGTGATACTATCTCATCAAAAAATCAGTAATGTTTCAATGAGGCTGATTTCTGCTGCTGGACTAATTATTTTCTGCTAATTTAAATTGAATAATACTGTAGTAGTTTATATATAACAGGATATATTATGTGAGATAAAAATAATGAATGGGAATGCATTTTCCAAATAAAAATTACAAAAATATTTACACTTAAAAACACTGATTATTTTTTGTCCATTGCTTTTTCTGCAACAGTTAAGCTTTTAGGTATCCAAAAAAGTTGAGAGCACAACACAAGAGGTCTTTTAACTAAAATGCATAATACCTGCTTCATTTATTAATGACATATATTTAACACTTATTCATTCTACAGAGCTTTTATGGAACTCCTCCCTGTTTTTTGTATTTCCATTTCATTCTTTTCTACAACCCATCAAATTGTTTCACTTAACTTTTACATGAAGGTACGCATTTAGATTAACACATAGAAAAGTCTTAGAAAAAGTATTAGGGCTTATCCCTTTTACAAAACTCAACACTACTTATTCAATAGACATTTTGAAAGAAATATAATTCTTAGAGGAAAGTCATAAAATTGTAGAACCAACACAAAACCAAGAAACAATAATAAAATCTTAGCATGATGCTCTAGAATGGGCCATCAACCAGCCATTTTTCTAAAACACAGGACTGCTTACTTTAAAAATTCCTGAGCCCTCACTATCTGTGAGTACTAGAAGTTTTCTGCTCAGTTCTCCTCTGCATCTTTCCCTCTCCTATTATCTCTATGATATATAGGGATAATAAAGCCAATTTCCTCAGAACAATAATACTTTGGTGCATATTCTATCTTCATTGTTCTTAAATAAATGGGATAATTACATGAATTGATGAACTTCAAAAGACTGAACAGATGGATGAAGAAAAGGAGACTCAGAGAAGGAGACTTTTAGCAACCTTAGTGACTGTGGCAAAGTGTACACCAGAAAGTTTTGTCATCATAGTTATCTCAGTTAAAAGTGTGAAAAAATCTACACCCCTGACCAAAATAGTTGTGCTGGCAAGCGTCCCCATGTTGATGCAGCTCTACCTGCAAGAGTCCTTTTGCCAATATACCTTATGTTTGAAAAGGCAGTTTACAATACCAAAAAAATCTTTGTATGTCTATACAAGCTGCAGTTCCACTAGAAGTCTCTGCTGGCATAGCTGTATTAGCAAAATGTTTGGAATTGAAGGAGGAGTAATGGTAGTTCGAATTAGGAGCTTTAATTTGAACTACTTAGCCCGTGCCACAAGTAGCCGCAGGCAGGTAGTTCGAACTACGGAGCATTTTAAAATGGTGGCGCCTGGGAACATGCAAATAGAGCCCGGGATATTTAAATCCCGGGCTTCATTTGCAAGTTTGAATGACTGCATTAGCCACCCTTGTTCGAACTAGGGTGGCAGTGTAGACATACCCTTACTGACTTTTTAACTACAAAGTCAAAGCCGGTCCAGAAGTTTCCCAGATTCTTTGTCCTCATAGTGGAGAGAATTAAAGGATAAGTAATTACCAACTGGAGACTAAATGGGCCTCGGGGTGCATTACGCACTGCTATCAGTTGTCAGGGTGCTTCTCATCAGATGGACTATGAGCCCATTCCACAAGATTGCAAGTATCAACCACAGCTGCACTTCATGGCATGCCCCTTACAGACACATAAAGCAGTCCTGTTGAGTTTGGTACACACCCTTTTCCTCTCACTATGCTATGATATATGATTCTGTGATAGATGCCTCATTCAACACAGTGGCCTGTATTCTACAGTTCCACTGTCTTTCTCTCACTCTTCTCCTCTCTAGATACTGCTTGTCAATACAGTAGTGACCATCATTTGAAGAACAGGAGGTTATTTACCTGTAACTATAGGTTCTTTGAGATGTTTGCACCCTATATTCCAGTCCTACCCTCCTTCCTCTCTACTGTGGTTCTGTAGGTCTGTGATGGAGAAAGAATTGGAGACATGAACAATCTGCTCCACCCTTTATTTCTTGCCTCTAAGGAAACCACAAGGCAAAACAAGGGTACATGTGCAAAACACTGAGCAGTATTACTTTGAAAAGCTCCTGCTCCAGGAGCACGAGACATGCACATAATCTTCTGTAAATATAGATAAGGATCACACATCTTGAAGAACCTTCTGTTACATCACATCAGAATTGAGGTAAAATACTGTGATTGGTACTGTTTGATGATCTTGATTTGAACAGTGATAATTGTCATTTTCTCTATCTGAATGACCAAAAACTGTAGTAGTTTAGGCAGTAGTATTTTAGATTAAAAACCATCACAAATAGAAAATTATTTTTGAAAATAAGATTTCATCCACATAACTAAATGATCACTGAAGTCAGACTGTTAGCTTTCACAACTACAAATAAAACTACACATCAATCAAATTTAATTTTAATGTCTATTATGTGAGAATCTTTTTGTATAATAGCATAATAACAGCACACTAGTTAATTTTATTTTTTCATATTTATCTTGCTTATTACATAATTTCACCTCTGCACATGTTGTCAGTTTTAATGTTGATGACTCTTTTTTGTTTTGAGTATGAATAAAAATTGATAATAAAAATTAGCTTTTTTCTGACAAAATAAATGATCTATTCTAGACAAGGAAGCATGTCTAACTCCATTGTAATTCCATCATAGTTCACCATAGTTAACTCAGTAATGGTAACTTATGCTTCCTATAATTGTTGATCTTCTTTAAAGAAGATTCTGATCGATTGAGCCATTGAGGCATAATATTTTAGTATATTAATCTTAGTATATATTAATCTTTTTACAGTAGCTAGTAATAATACACTGGCAGTGGTTTCTTGTTATGTCCTTCCAATCACATATTCAGTTCATTGCCAGTTAGACTGCTATAAATTATCCAGGTGATTTCACATACAGGCAGTCCCTGAGTTATGCGGATCCGACTTATGTCGGATCCGCAGTTACGAACAGGGCTTTTCTCGCCCAGGAGGACGGGAGTGGCGGGACGCCCAGATGCGCCGCGGTCCGCCGCCCCCGTCCTCCGGGGCGAGAAAAGCTGTTCCCCGTCTCCCTGGTCTTCAGGGAGACGGGGAGCAAAGCCTTGGAGCATGCCCGCAGCGGGACAGCCCGGCGCGCTTGAGCTGTCCCCCTGCGGGCGTGCTCCGTGGCTTTGCTTCCCGTCTCTCTGGTCTGCAGAGAGATGGGGAGCAAAGCCGCGGAGCACGCCTGCAGGGGGACAGCTCAAGCGCGCCTGGGCTGTCCCGCTGCGGGCGTGCTCCAAGGCTTTGCTCCCCGTCTCCCTGCA